GTTTTAAGGAAGCAATAAAAGATTTATTGAATTGAAAGAGAATTTGTCATTTTGAAATGTATGTTTTGGTAACAATACATAGTACAGCTTGTTATATTTGTAGGTGCGGGCTGTAACATTCTTTCATAGTGTCAAAATGCGAGTTTCTTTGTGTTTATAAAATAGTATACAAAACACATCAGTTACAAAACAGCATTTAAAAAACTAAGATGATGGATTAAAACTGAACTGGTTTGTCCTACAAGGTGGCAGAGTGTATCTCTACCCTGATGGAAGCTCAATGAACTATTTTCAAATGATTTGGATTTGCCAGTRTGGGCCAGACTTTTTTTAAGACATGACTAGTACTAATGGTATATGTACATATGTGTTCTCTTCATTTGCTGATGGTCAGATGTTGGGTGTGTCCTGTGTRTTATTGGTGTACATTTCACCTGTCTAATTTCTATTGGTTTCTCTCTTTACAGTTCCTATATTTCTCTTCTACTTTTTCTTCTTTACTATAGTAAAAAGTCACTGATGATGCAGAAATTAAGAAACTAACATTCAGTTCTGTTTTCTACTGAAGTGTAGTGGCTAAAAAAGAGACATGACTATTAAGGTCTTGGAAGAAAGTTCCACTTTACAGAAACATTCCAAAATCCATCAGCATGTGAATGTGTGTATGAATGGATGAATGACTGAGGTGTAAAGCACTTTGGAGTACGTATGGACTTGATAAAGTGCTAAATAAGTTCAAGCCATTTACCATTTGTCCATAAATCTAATTTCTTTAGCAGCCTTTTTTTTTGGTTCAAAGATGACAGTTGAGCTGTTGCCTATCTCCAGCTAATGAAAGTGGTGGGACAGGTTGTTTGTAGATCTAGTTATTAATAATTTAAGTTTTCGGTAACCCTTAGCAGACAAAACAAAACCGAAACAAAATATATCTACCTCCATGTTTGACTGCTAGAATGCTGTTCTTCAGGTCATACTTAACATTTCTCTTCCTCCATACATGGTATGTAGCATGAAGGATCGCTCGTTCTAACATGATCTCTTGAATGTTGATCTGTAATTTTTAACCATAGTGTTAAACATAACTGACTGTTTTTTCTCCTTTATCTCTTAAGCAGATAAACATCAGCTGTGTCTGACACCAGCCTGTCAGAGATGATAATAACAAAAGTTATCAGGTTTAATAAATCTGTCAAAGTTTGAGCAGCACAGCGACAAAAAGACTCGGAGGCAGAGGTAAAAAGGTAAGTGATTTTATTCACAGGTGGGGCTTTTACAGGAACCAGATCTGGAAGGGAAGAAGTCCTTGGTGAGTATTTGGTCAGGTGAGTAGATGGTGAGTATTTTGCAGAAGAATTGATTTTGTTCTTACGGATATTGGATGGAGGCTCGGCAATGAGGGAGAGGTCCAGGATTTCCAGGGGAGTATTTACAATCCGGTTTTGTAGGTGAGTTGGTTCCAGACAGAAGCAGACAGGCAGTGCAGCATTAGGCCAGGTGAGTGGCTTTCTTTCAGGTTCTTCCAGGATCGCAGGGAGAGGATCGTCCAGGTAAATCTCAGGAGGCATAAAACTCTGAACAAAGAAATTCACAAAGGTTAACTCAGGGAAGTTCAAAACACAGAGGGTCTGAGTAGCTTTAGCAAAGGCAAATGATGCATCAGCAAAGAACTGATCCTCTGATCTACCTCAAGAACGCAGAGCGCTGATTAACCAGATCTGTTGTAGCTGCAGCCACTTGGTAATGCCAGCCAATCAGGAACCAGGTAACAACAAACAGGTNGCGCTACCCTTTTGTTGCTTTTAGCTACTGTTGTGCCACTTTTAACTATAACATTTTGCTATGGTTAGAATCCTGCTTGCATTTGATACTTTTAGCTATTAGCTGCACTTCTGATAATTTTAGTCAAAATGTTTATATGTTTAGCTTTTAGCTACTCTTTTCATTATTTAAGCTACTCTTTTGTTACTTTTAGCATATCTTTTCAGCCTTTAGCTAGCATTTTGTTTATCGTTTAGCTCTCATTATTTATTTACCTATTTCTTAATGCTAAATTATCTTGAACCACTCATCTCAGTTGCCATCTCTTCAGCTCATGATGGTGGTTAAACAACTTTAGCTTGTAAACAGTGGATACTACAATGGCTTCCAAGTACCTCTAGTAGAATCCCGAGTACCACCGGTGGTATTTGTACCACAATTTGAGATCTATGACTCTATAATCAATATGTCTGTCACAGCTCATTGCCCGTTTGTCTACCAAACTTCAACATGTTTTAATGATCCAACAATGTACCATACCTTCAATATTTTTTGAAAGGAAAAATATCAGACAAGTTTAATCTTCTGACTGTCTGAGTCCCTGTAACTCAACAAGTTTGTTCAAATATTGAGTCTAAATTGTTCTGCTGACATTTTGAGAAAAATCTGGTAGTGTGAACCTTTGTTAAAACTAATGTTAAAATCTTATTTCTTTCAGGTTGTCTGTTTTTCTGTTTTAAAGCTTGCAGTTTTGAATGTACTAAAACATTTCATTTATCAAGTGTCCACACCCTCTTTTTCTTTACAGAACTGGCATCTCCAGCTCAGTTCCACAGGGCAGAGCCTGGGAGCAGATCCCCATATGTCTGCCAATCAGCCACGCTACCTACGACCTGGGACGCCTGTGGCTTGTGGCTGACGGCGGTCTTATCTTGCAGTGTGTTTCGTAAAGTGACTGTCCTCACTACAGTCTTTTCTCTTATGGCCCAGATGGCCTAGCGAAATTTTCATTTAATTTGATTAATCAAGGTTTTGCTTTTTCTCATGATTTTAGCAGTAGTCAACAATCATGGTGGTGAAATAAATGACTGTAATAATGATTATGACCTATATCATGCAAAAAGGCACATTGACTTAAAACATTTCTGCCTTGGTTTTATAAAAGATAGAAAAATGCTTTGCTTGATGATTCATTGTGTTCATTAATTAGTAACATGCATGTTACACAGTCCACACATTACATGTATGTTGTGATTGTTTTAAGGAAGCAATAAAAGATTTATTGAATTGAAAGAGAATTAGTCATTTTGTAATGTATGTTTTGGTAACAATGTAATATAATATAATATAATATAATATAATATACAGCTTGTTATATTTGTAGGTACGGGCTGTAACATTCTTTCATAGTGTCAAAATGCGAGTTTCTTTGTGTTTATAAAATAGTATACAAAACACATCAGTTACAAAACAGCACTTAAAAAACTAAGATGATGGATTAAAACTGAACTGGTTTATCCTACAAGGTGTCAGTGTATCTCTACCCTGATTGAAGCTCAGTGAACTATTTTCAAATGATTTGGATTTGCCAGTATGGGCCAGACTTTTCTTCAAGACATGACTACTAATATATGTACATATATGTGTTTGTTTGGTTGCTGGGTGTTTGTTCTCTTCATTTGCTGATGGTCAGATGTCAGGTGTGTTGTCCTGTGTAACATTTTAGTCATTTGCCACATTTAGCTTTTAGKTAGCATTTTGCTACTTTCAGATATTATTTTGCTACCTTTGACATTTTAGCCTTTTGTTATTGTTATAATCAAACTTAGGTATTGTTTAGTTTTATAATTAAATTTAAGTATTATTCACTCTTAAGTTCTATAATCAACATTAGTATTGTTCACTCTTGCATGAAATTTATTCAGCAGTATTTTGTGTTAAGCAGCTGAAGTTTTACACATTTTGATTCACTTATTATATAGACAAACTGTGTGTCCTTCTCTCTGTGAACTGCTGGAGTGGAGCAGGTTCTGACAAGCAGATGATGAGTTGCAGACAGGCTGAAGGAGTCTAGGGGAGTAACCGGGTGAGATAAGTTAGAACTGCATTCCTGAGGGAGCATCCTGTGTGTCTGTGAGAGAGAAGAATAAAACGGCAGCGAGTCTCCTCATCAGACAGACAATCTGCCAGCAGAGAGCTGAGTTGCACCGGATTCTCCAAGAATCAGGTTGTGAGGTTGTCTTTATAAATGCGCATTTATACTTTTAAACAATACTGTATCTTATCATAACTGTTTTACTAAAAAATAATAAAGGAGGTTTGGACCTTTAAAAGTACTTGTATGTTATATTTTTCACCTCGGTACCAGGTCCACGTCGGAGGAGAAAAAACGATCTCAGGCGGAGAGAGTAAGTTCGGTGTTTGTCCGCAACATTACATATAGCTTTTAGCTAGCATTTTGCTACTTTAAGCAATACTTGTGTTACTTTTTCATCAGTGCTTTATCACTTAGCTAGCCTTTTGCTACTATTACTGCTAGGTATTTAGCTTTTACCTAACCTTTTGCTACTTTTAATTTTTTTTGTACTTTTGGTTTTGTTCTGCTACTAGTAACTTTAGTAACTCAGTTTGAGCTTTTATACAGCACTCAATGTTCACAAAATTAGGTTACTCTTTTCCATTTTTTGTGTTGTGTTTTTGAAGGATTGTTCAGCTTTTTGCTCCTTCCTTATTCATTCCCTTACTCCGATTATCTGGAATCCAGACATTTGGGGTTAGGTGACAACCCATTATTTCCAGATTCTGGATGGTTCTGRCCTGTTTCTAGACTCACTCACACTTATAGGGTCAGTTTGAACTCACTCATTWATCAACATGTGTGTTTTCAGACTTTTTTCCAGGGAATAAACACAAAAGAGAGAACCCACAGAAAGATCTCTGCTAAGTTTAAACCTCAGCAACTTCATGACAAACATGCAGACCACGATAAGAAGAAAAGAAATTCAAAGCACCCCTAACAAGAAACCTCATTAATTAAAATAATTCTTCGTTTATTTTCTCATAAAATTCGAGCAAACCCTGAGTGGGTTGAGGTGTGTGCGTGCTGTGTTTTTAGGTGCCAGGCTCTATGTGTGATTGTGTTGTGTGTTCTGGGATGGGCAGGTTTAGGCTCGTCTCCATCAGGTCGTCATGGCTACAGCCTCAGCTGCCAAACGTGGCTCCTGCTGCTTTGACTGATCTCTTGATGTTTGAGTGTCACTTGTTGAAATTTGCTTAGTGCTCCTGATTGGTCAGCCAAGAGTCCTAAGARACAAATTTAAGTGGAGTTTGCCCTGTTTTCACTTTTAGTTTGTCAGTTTGTGTGGATTTCAACTCTTTACAAAGACAGAAACAGTCAGACAGCTGAACTCACAAATGGTGACCTAGCTCCGTGTTTGTAAAAATGACTGAGTTTTAGCCATTTTTGTTTTGGCTCAAGTCAATTGGTTGTGGTGACCATATGATGACTTAATAGAGTTCAATAAAATACAATTATAAAATAATATTTTGCCAACACTACAAACAAATTAACAGATTATAAATAAATTAAAGTGATTAAATGTACCTTTTTGTTAGAAGGAAATAAGTGGATTGTTTAGTAAACGACCGACTGATTAAATGTAAATATATTTATCTTCAGCAGGGGGCAGCACTGTGAAACAATCAAAACCTTGATTTCAGAGGTTTCCCCTTTGGTCAAACTTTGAGAGATGTGTTAGTGCTCAAAGTATGTGTTAACATTGACTCTCAGTTACTACCACACCAGATTTTAGCTTAATATCTGTAAAACTGACTGAGATATATCATTTTTTGTGTGAGGTCAGTGGCTGTGGTGGTCAGTGTATCAAACTGCTATAAATATTCTACGTTTTATAAATGTGTGCATTAGGCATGCTGTCCATGGTTGAGTCAAGGAAAATCAAATTTGCCAGTGAGAATCACACACTGTAAAAATGTTGTTCAGTAAGGAAGTGAAAATATTTCTGTGAAGGCTGAATTAGCATTTATTCTYTTGTTTTTGTTAATATTATTTTGCAATCTAACTCCTTTTGCATAACTTTTGCTTTTTTGACTATTCATTTTTAAACAGTACAGCTCATTCTGGAGATGGGTACTTTATTGTACCCACTACACTTTTTTGTAGTGTTTGACTACAGTTAGCTTTTGTCCAGCTTCCTCCCACAGACCAAAAGCATGACTGTTAGGCTAATTGATAACTCTAAAAGTTAAGTAAGTAAGTAAACTTTATTTCTATAGCACCTTTCACAGACAAACATCACAAAGTGCTTCACAGAAAGCAAAAATAATTAAAAACGATAAAACAGATCATCAGATGTTTTAAGCTCCCAGTAGAGCACCTTAAAAATGTCATTTCTCGTTGTTCCAGCTTAAACCTCACACACAAACACCCGTAGTTTCTGCACAGCTGGATTGTAGGACTATTTACTTTGTTACTATGGAATGTGAACAAGTAAGAGATGATGAAATAGGAAGTATAACCACATTCTAAGGTGTTTTACTCTATTTAAGGACCACAGAACAAGTTTTAACTAAAACTAGGAAATTCTGCTGCTCAGACAAAGAACCATTCCTTGCATGTCAAAAATAACCAGTTTTGGGATTGGTTTCTACTAAAGGTATAAAGATGCTTCACTGGGGCTGTGTACTCAGACTCAGCTTGTATTTTTGTATGCATGTTGTCTCTCATTTTATTGCAATAAATCTACTCAGAGACCATTGTAGTGAAGAACTTTTAAAATACAAATCATAAARTAAATGAAAGGTAGCAGAAGAAGAAAAAATCTTATCATATCTGCCCTTTTTCTCAAATAAATAAATTCTATCAAAAATAATCTTTAGTTTATATAAAAAAGAAAAATAACAAAAGGTTCAACTCATTGAGCATCAATTCATATTTTACATATTTCCCCAATAAATTATTCTTTATCATTCTCTTAAATATAGTCAATGATCTGGCATTTTTAATGCCATCTTCCAGATTATCCCATAATCTTATACCCTGGACTGAAGTAGTCCTTCCTTCAAACTGGTTCTAAATTTGGATTTAACAAGCATCTCTATTGCTTTGAGAGTATAACAACTCGCTCTTTTAACAAAGTGTAATTGAATGTTTGAAGGTAATGTATTTTTATGAGCCCTATACATGACTGATAAAATACCATAATCAACCAAATCAGAGAATTTCAATAACTTCAACTGATGGAACAATGAATTTGATGGGTGATAGTGATGCTTCCTGGTGATAATAGCTCTTTTCTGTAAAACAAAAATTGGGTTTGTAATTGTTTTGCATGATTTCCCGCAAACATCAATACAGTAGATTAAGTGTGGAACAATTATTGC